CCGGTATCTGTATGTTCTGATATCTGGTGTCCAGGACCTTTTAGGTCTGTCTCTTTTTGCAGCATCAGCCCTTTCCTTGCCAGCTTCTGTGAGCAGGGCCTGCCTCTGGCTCACAGCTTCACTTTGCTTTATGTTACCAAAGTCTTGACCATTACTTTGGTTCAGGCCTTAGGCCTCATACCAGGCCTCTGACACCAAGGTTTATCTCTCAGGGCCTCCTCTTACTACATTCCCCCACTTTTTGTCTTTTTACGGGGAGGATGTTTACCCATCGGCCCGGAAAAGCATAATGCATGGACTAAAGATAACTCAGTGAGCAAAACACTGTTATGTGTTTACCTCATTTTACCATCCATACACCCATGCCCCATCTGTCTTTTTAGTCTGCACATTCCCACGTACGACTGATAGGCAGATTTTATTATCCAATTATTTTTTAGTCTTTTATGGTGGGCCTGGGAATGTTAGGTCCGGGACCATGACTGAGGAATGTAGTATTATGATTGAGCCTTAGAGGCACTCCCAAATAATTAATATATATCAATTATATGAATATGGCATATATATTTGGAGTGTGTATGGGCATATATGTATAGTATGTATGTGTACATATGATACTACTTTATATCCAAGCATAACCATGTTTTTCCAGTCCGGTGTTGTACTTTGGCCCTTTTACTTTGGTGACACAGATAGAAACACCCTCTTATTAGGACAATTCCAGTTATCACTTGTCTCATCATTAGTAGTAGGCTGAGTGTTTTGAAATATTGGGATAGGGATTGTGATAGTGTGTCCCACAGTGCTATGTATATAAGAAGTAAAACAGAAATTTGGAGTAGTGACACTACCACTGAGGCCTTTATATATAAATATATTGTAATTAGTTACTACTCAGTACTGTCCATTCATGTTATAGGTTACCTTTACTGTTGGTTGTCACCCTCTGATTAGCTTCACTGGGCAGGACATAGAAGTGGCTAGCTTCTCTGTTCCACTGATTGCACGGCTCTGCGATACACAAGTAGTTGACATAGATCCAGTTGTTTCTTATGGATGCTGTCTTCCAGATAACCTACTGAATGGACAGTAACCAATTTATCAAATAGTGCTGTGTTAGGATTTAGTATTGGTACCCAGACACTGAACAAGATTGCTTTGAATAACATGTGCCTTAGTTAGGATGCAGTGTCGCTGACCCAAATTATGACTAGTATTAACAGGCAATTTGTTTACCCAATTTGTACTTACTATGTAACTTTTTGTTTGTTTACCACTGTTTTTTCTTTGCCTTCACGTTGTTTGCTGCCATTTGTTTGTTGATTTTTACTTGTGTGTTGGTTAAACTGTTTAGCAAGGTTATGCATATTGTAAATGTTGTACAGCAATAATACAATACAGCAATAAGACAACAGTACAACAATAATACAGCAGTACAGCAATAATACAGTTGTTTTTACATAGTAACCAAGTTGAAATTAAATGATGGCTTATTCTGGTCCAGCTAGTGGTTTTTAGCTGATTGTTAACTTAATTGTTCATATATGGTAGATAGAGGTGTATTTAACCAGTCTCTTATTTATAAAGCACTTCATTTTTCTGTTCTTGATGCTTGGGTTTCTTCACTGTATACTGATATCATCTGGTGTCTTCAGGGTGTGATATTTTTGGTGTCTTTGGTCTGTGGGATGCAACTTAAACAGCTAGTTAGTTAACATAAAAAAGGATTTTTGTTTGTTTTTTGTTTTTGTTTTTAGTAACTTAAACTTAATACACAGTTTAACTTTGTTCTTATTACATTGTAAACAAACTATGTAATAGGGACCAAGCCTTTTATAACACAAGCTATACTTTTGCAATTGTTGTATAGACATTCATTTTCATTTGAAGTGCATTACTAATATTTTTATACGAAATGTAATGCTTAACGGCTAAAATAAATGCTCACAATCTTCCATGAGAAGGTGTATTGCTTTCCCTTGCGGAACAATTTGTTTCAGCAAAGGAGTTAACAGAATTTTTACTAAGCTTTTTAGAGTTAATTTGCTTGTGATACCAATTTCACTCTTGT